ACTTCACAACTTTTCTGAGGAAATGTTGGTTAATCACACCGCACAGCAGTGCGCAAGGAATCGAAATCCGAGTTTTTTAAATTAATTCCGAGAAACCTTTTTGGGGTAAGCCGGAAGCCCCCGCAGTGTCCAATACCGCTTCCTGGATCCGCCAGTTGTGAATAAGTCACGGTCGATACCGAGCTTCGGCGGGACCAGGCGCTGTACACGTTGTTCTTTGAATGAAGAGGTGGACAGACACCTAGCCCCACATGCTACTGCTATGCCCGTGCTTCTGTGGGTGAAGCACTAAAGCATCATGGAATCCCAGAGGACCTGCGAGTCGACGAGGTGGCCGCTTTGGCCGCCGGGTACTGCAGCTCCCTGGAGTTGCCTGGGACCGATGGCAAAACAACAGCTCCGGCGGTGCCCCTATGGGCCGTAGTAATTAGTGAATTCCCGTAATGTAGAGATCATATCCTCAATGATCTCCATTACTATTTTATATTCCTAAACAATATGACAGACCAATTATGCTTGCCTACGTTCAGGCATTACCTCTGATGGTCATACGCCCAGTACATGTGTTGTCTGTCAAACAACAATCGACGACGGGATCCCTTCTCATCATCTCTTAAGCCATCCGGTTGTCAATTCACCCACCCCGTTTCCCTAAAAATAGACGGTCAGATTCGGCCTGGGTCCTTACGACCCCTCTAAATTCGCCAGAGACGGGATCGGATCGCCGTTATTGCACCCGTCTTAGTGTCTTAAATACTATGACAGCTTCGACCACGGACGTCGGACGAGGTGATCGTTCCACGAATGTACGCACCATCCAGGCCTAGGATGCATCGAGGTTTGAAAGGATGCAGTCTGTAGATCAATCAACAAACAATGGTGGTATGCAACCACTTTAAAATATCTCACTGGCTCCCGCAACGTTCCAACGCCCCTCCGTTATGCATTCGCCCTGTGTGTCCGCCGAGCCGGCTTGCCTCCAATGACGTCATCGGCCGGCCGGCGGCGTTCAGGGTCAAACGGCTGGTGTCCTTACCTGGAGTTCTATAGCCTTGTAGCTAAGGACATGTGGTCTTCACCATTGGATAGAAAAAACATCGGCGCATGAAATGACACCAAGAAAACATGTGCACGTGCAAAAATGTTTAATTGCTTAAGGCACTTCCATTACTTAATAGTCAACCCTAGTAATAGGTAGGTCAGTTGGGCAAACTAGACTTTTGGAATCAAAATATGGAGGCATCAATAATTTGATTCTGGTGGGAGGAGCCATGACCAAATATGGGCATGGAATCAATTTTTTTATTCATTTGGGTACACTTTTGACTTCAAATGTATCGTTACGGTTGAAAAAAGGCCCATGACGGTGAGATTTTTCTTTAAAAAGGTAGAAAAATGTGGTAGGTTTGCAAAAAGTGTTACCTCAAAACTAAGAAATTGTCCCTTTGGCCTTGTGAATGGGAAAAAGACAGAGGCACTGTCCATCACGTAAAAGCTGTTTTGAGGAAATCACACTGTATGCTATTTTTGTATCATGAATCACATACTAAACAATCAGTATTTGTGTAAAATGGCAAAATGAAATTTTCAAATCCCTAATTATCATTGTTGTAGTGCTTTTATATTTATTATATGGTTTTTACCTGTTGCTTCAGTTTTTGTATTCTTGACATTTCAAAATTGTGAATTGTTATCAAATGTAGTGAAGGTAAAGTACAACAATGCTATAGGTATCTGTTGTGGTGCTGAGGATACCACTAAATGAGAATAATATCAAGATAAATGCTGTATTCTTGCAAGTCATTGTTGCCTATCTGTTAACATTACCTGTGAATCAAAATAATGATTAGCCAGCTGATGGGGAATCAATATTATGATTATCTGTTTAAAGTGAATCAATTCCTTGATTGCCTTTCACTACCTATAGAATTCAAATTGTTGTGATAGGAGCAATATTATTTTGCTTAGGAGATACTTCAAGCATTTCTGTTCAAGATCAGGCATGCTCCTTCTTGAAACACTCTCTCATTTTTATGTGATTGGTAAGTTAGAAATGGTCTGCATTTATGCCCAAATATGGTCATAAGGAATCAATCTTTTGATGCCTCCATATTTTGATTCCAAAGGTCTAGTTTGCCCAACTGAGGTACTAGGTTTACCATGTAAGGATTCATTATTTCACACAGCATCTGCACCATCCAGGCACCCACATCAACAGCACTGGACACTGACACTGGCTGAGTGCCTCTGCATGACAAGATCTTGTAAAAATTGCCCAAGACTGTCGTACTTTTAAGTCTGGTTTATCACTTACTCTGATACAGATATGATGTTTCATAATGGAAGGTAATGTCGGTAAATATTTACTTTAGGTCCGCAATATTTTTTTAACAAGAAAAAATGCACATTCTTACACTATTTGATGTCCTGAATTCAGATATGATGCTTAAATGCATCAAAAATGTAAACTAAGATACTAAAACCCCAGCACATTTCACAGCACTGCTGCACAATACACACTGAAGAGAAAGCACGCTTCCGCGGCGAAAACGAAACATACAACGTTGCCCTATAAAAGAAAAAATGATGCGGATATTCATTAGTTTTCGACGTTATGAAAATGACGTCAAAATACCAAAGCACAAGAAAAACGGTGAATAAAAAAGAGAAAATATTTAGCAAAGGGAATAGAGCATGAGAAAATGATCAGAACATAACCTAACCTTACCTAACCTGACCTACTGATGTTTGCCTACTGGGGGAAAAGGAAAAAGTGGCTTGCATGAATAGATTGCAAGCAATGGTAAGTCAAATATTTTTAGGTTAAGTGGTTGTGTATCTGGCTTCAGGCCTCGGCCTGAAGCCAGATACACAACCACTTAACCTAAAAATATTTGACTTACCATTGCCTGTAATCTCTCCTAAGGCATTGCCTTCGGCACTGCACCGCTCCGCCACGATTATTTTGACGTCACTTTCCTTACAATTTATTATCATCTGTAATTTCGCTCAACCTTGGTTGGACCATTTGTAGCGGGTGCGCCGCGCAGACGGTCTTTTGACGCGTGCAGTTCCGGTCGGAGGTGGGGCCGTTGGTGGTTATACTGGTGATATTAGTGTACTGGTGCTTTTAAATTGGTTTCTAGAAGGAATAAGTATCAGAAATGAAATCAGGAGGTCTTAGAGTATTGTGTGAATGACTTTTATTTATCCCTCTGTTTTGCGGACCTAAAGTAAATAAATACCGGTAATGTCTCTCTTGAAAGTGTCGCACATCAAGGTCAACTGAGGGCTGGCAAATACAAATCACCGAGCCAGCTGACCTGGGGAATCGATGAGGATGTCAATTGGCTCGGTGACTCAAATTTGGCAGCCCTTCCTCAATCAGGCTTGATTGATCTAGGGCACTAATGCCAGTTACTATCAAGACTGAGAGACTACACACTGAATAAAACACACCAGCATCACTGAATTGGAACAAGTGAATAAGTGATGTGGATGACAAATTTGAAAAAAACTGAACTGTGGTGTGGTGGGCCAGACTGCCACACAACAAACCAATGAAATAATTGACAGTTAAATCACCCAAATAATACTAAATTTTCATGTATTTCAATTACAAATAAAAAAACATAGGTACATATTAGTAGACTTTTCAGTAGACCTATATCAATAGACCCACCTGCAGAAGCAAACCAACTGATTGCAGATGATAACAATAAATAAATTGTATCAAGGCAAACCACACTGAAAAATGGATAAAATATATTTTGACAAGGCTTTGATGACATCACAAAACAAATGATTGATTGCCTTTTTCGTTTCTTAGGCCAGAAACAATTTAGCCAAATTTGGGCCAATATTTTCACAAAGCGTTGAAGGGTCAATTTTTAAGTACTTAGGACGCAAAAATTGTAAAACCAACTCATATTTGATTTCAGGAACTAAATTCAATAAAATGTAAGGAAAGCAGTCTATGACATCATCGTAATGCATTTATTTTTATGTATGATTAACATTAGGCTAACCTTGATATTTTCTAGCAGAAAATATTTGTGAAGTGAAGGTTTATTTTACCCTGGAAAAGTTTCCCTAAAACAACAAGGAACAAATGCGAAGCTTTTAAGTTAAAAATATTATTTCCTGAAAATTAAGAGTGAAGGAGACGAAGAATTGAGAAAATGAAAAAGAAAATTATCAATTGAGAGCGTTTTATCTTTTTTCACTATATTTTAGTTTGGCCATTTCTCTTTCTTACGAAAGTAATTTTAGGAGTTAGAGAATTTGGCAGTAGTGTTTCAAGATCTGACTGGCGCAGTAGCTTCAAAATAAATCCTCCATATTTTGTGTACACAAGTCGGTTATGCAAGCCCATGTCAATGTAACGGTTATGTAAGTTTATATGGGTTATTACTTATTAGTAAAAATCTGGGATAGATATTTTACATTTATCAATTGTCATTTGTCATATGAATGTTGATGCGTTCCGTCCTGACTTGACTCACGCTTCAGCAATAAGAACATCTAATTTTACGGGTCTTCGATGAAAAAGCAGAGCTGCTTATGCTACAGCTAAGTAAAGAATACGGATGAAGAGTAACATGAGATTTAAGGCCTATACTGATACTGAGCCAAAGCGGAAAGCCAGAACTCTTCAATTTTCGAAATTTGGACATTTCCGTGACTTAAGTAGGTACCTTTCTATGGAATGGTAGGATCATTTCCCTCTTTTTCACTCTTTTAAAACTGAAGAAAAAAGAGGGATTTGAACAAGGGTAGGAATAGTCAAATATCCTTGCATATGAAATTGGCAGTATTGGTATATGAAAGCATTCCTCTTTGACAATGACAGAAAAGAGATGGAGCAGAACAAGGATGGACCATACCGGCTCTGGAGGCTGAGGAGAAAACTGGTGACAGAGGCGGATGACAAGGAAAGGGCTTAACCAACAACCTAAGCTAATCCTACTACATAATGCCCTCCCACCCAACCTGTGTTTATAGGGCTAGACCCGTGCAAAGGTGTCAGTGTGACCACCTCATCAGCATCAGCATCAGCATATCAATGTTTGACAGAAGATGTAGGTATGTTTTGTGAATATTTAAGTCGGTATTCTTTTGAACTCTTTGCAAATTCATAGCTCTGTGATTCAGGCCCTCATTCAATCAGAGACAAATTATCAGACTTTTTGTGAATCAGAATCACTGTTCATTGGTGAAATTTGAAACCATGCCATATGATTATTTAAATCAGTGTTAGCTGATCTAGAAATGTGAAAATTAATGCTGTCATGTCACTTGTCAGGCTTCTCCAAATTCTCTCTCTAAATTTTAAAAATGCTTTGAATATGAATTATGCTGTCTTATGCATGCAGTGCACCACACTAATGTCTCATAGTTTGTGTCACACAAACAGTATTTCAGTTGTCAAGCCATTGAACTTGAATTAGAATAACCTAACAAAAGCATTTATATCAGTCATGTAGTAACTAAGTGACTGAGCATTTCTGAAATCATTGACTAGGTATTATTCCCAGAACCCTATGTCTTACATAACTTTGCTACCTATATAAAGGAAAGCTGACAGAGGTGTCATCAGCCCAGGCTGTGATGTCAGAAATGAACTGTCACTTATGCAACATTTAAGCTCTCAAGGTGTTTTTGCCATCAGCTAATATGCCATGTTTGCCCTTGTTCTATAGGAGGGAAGAATAATGATGGCATGGAATAATTGTGGTATGATGTGTGCCAGTCTGAAAGGCATCCACTGGAGCACCAGAACTGGAAACTGCTTGAATATCCAGTTGCAGCATCTAAGAAACTACTGTGTCACATCTCTACTCAGAAGGCATTCTGCTGCAACAAATGCTGCTGCAACAGAAGCAATCACGTTTGTACCGCGCCACCAGGACACCTCTACAGCAGAGTTGGCGGAGTTTGAGCGTGTGCTGCGCCGCTTTCCGCGCCTAGCAGTGATCACAGGCGCCGGGATATCGACAGAGAGCGGCGTGCCCGACTACCGCTCCGCCGAGGTGGGGCTGTACGCGCGCCGCGGCCACCGACCCATCACCTACCAGGAGTTTGTCTCGTCGGAGCCGGCGCGGCGCCGCTACTGGGCGCGCAACTTCGCCGGCTGGCCGCGCTTCTCCTCCGTGCAGCCGAACGCCGCGCACCACGCGCTAGCCGTGTGGCAGCGGCGCGGCCGGTGCTCCTCCCTGGTCACGCAGAACGTGGACGGTCTGCACACGGTGGCCGCCGGAGGAGAGGTGACTGAGCTGCACGGCTCGTCACACCGGGTCCGCTGTCTGGGCTGCGACTTCACCCAGTCGCGCCATCAGCTGCAGCGGGTGCTGGAGCGCGCCAACCCCCAGTTCGCCGCCGAGGCGCCGGCCGCGCTCCGACCTGACGGTGACGTCGAACTGGATCAGGTGAGAATGTGGGACGTCGAACTGAATCAGGTGAGAATGTGGGACGTCGAACTGGATCAGGTGAGAGTGTGGGACGTCGAACTGGATCAGGTGAGAATGTGGGACGTCGAACTAGACCGGGTGGGGATGCTGGACGTCGACCTAAGCCATGTAAGAATCTGGGATGTCGAACTGGACCAGATGAGAGTGTGAGACGTCGAACTAAACCTGGTGAGAATCTGGGACGTCGAACTAAGCCATGTAAGAATCTGGGACGTCGAAGTGAACCAGGTGAGAATCTGGGACGTCGAACTGAACAAGGTGAGAATCTGGGACGTCAAACTGGACCAGGTGAGAATGAGGGACTGGACCAGGTGAGAATGTGGGTCGTCTAACTGGACTGTGAATGAATGTGGGGCGTCGAACTGGACCAGGTGGGGATGTGGGTCGTCGAACTGGACCGGATGAGATTGTGGGAGGCTGGTCACTGGTCAGTGAGGTCGAACTGAGCCAGGTGATAATAGTCAGGCTGGGTCCGTTGTTAGTTTTAGCGGGATCGGATGGTGAGATATGAGATCGGAGTAATCGTATAGAGCAACTAAAATATGCATTGTGTGAATCTACTAGGCATTCTTGAGATGTTTTGCGGAGATGATGAAAACGTGTTGGATCGATGGCATGTAAGAGGAAGTTTGAAAGTAATCAAACTCGCATCATATTCAAATGATAGCGTAATATGCCGTCATTTCTACTAGGTTTTCTCTGACGAATTTATCATGCTAGCCGGTGCGTCGATTGTGACTGACCCCTCCCCCCCCCCGTGCCCACAGGACCAGGTGGGACGGTTTGTCGTGCCGCCCTGCCCCGACTGCGGTGGACTCCTAATGCCCGACATCGTGTTCTTCGGTGACAGCGTGCCGCGGGCCCGTGTGGATTCAGTTCGTCAGGCGGTGGCCGACGCCGACGCGCTGCTTGTGGTGGGCTCGTCACTGCACGTCTACTCGGCGTACCGACACGTGCTGCAGGCTGTCGAACTCGACAGACCCGTGCTGATCCTTAACATTGGACCTACCAGGGGAGATAAGCACGCCTTCTATAAACTGGACGGCCGCGCCGGCCTGGTGCTGCCCCGGCTGCGCCTTTGACCGTGTGCGGTAATCGAATGACGGGATTTAGTGTGAGGAACTGACTGTGACCCGACCATCGAAGTCTGCATGTGTGGTGACTGTAACATAGTTTGTGACGTGTTGTGAGACACCGTGTGTCTTTTGTGAGGATTTGTTGGTGTATGGTTCGATCGGCCGATTTTTTTCATTTGCCGATGAAAAGGTCCACCACCTGTTTTTGTTAGTCGTCAGACCACTGTGTAGTGTGTATGAGGAAAAGTTGTACTGTGATTGAGCCGCCGGCTGACGAGTGAAAGGCACTGTGGCAGCGTGGTGCTCGAGACAAATGGCAGGATTTGTAGCTGCCAGCGTCCAGCACCAAGATATCAGCTTTCTGTGTGTTGGGGCAATGGTGGATTAAATGACGAGGTTCGAGTGATAGGGGGTAGGGACAGGTCACTTATGCTGACGGCGTTGTAAAAGAGGACACCATTCTGTTAGTGCTGAACGGCGCTAGTGGTGGTTTTAACTGATGTTAATATTTGAGGTGCGTACACGTTTTTGTTCTTTTTATCCGTGCTTTTTATCTCACTTTACGACCTGTGCTTTTGCTTGCATATGATAGATATTGAGATGAAATGTGCTTTACGGGCTAGGGTAGACAGTGTGGCCAAATTGGTTTAGCGTTAGGGGGAGGATGTATAAAAAAGTCGTATAAGGATGTCACTATTTTCAAAAAACTCGTCTTCAGTGTCATTTTAGGTGCAGTTTTTATTAGTTATGTGGAAAAACTATACCTGACGTCAAGCTCCTGTGGAAAGTAAAAAAAAAAATCAAATATTGTCATCAAAGATGTAAAAAAAAAAACATTGCAAGCGCGACAGCACGAGTATGACGGTGCGAATCATACATTGGAACATTTTTAGTCTTAATTCCTACACTAGATATGCTTTCACAACAAAAACGTTGTGATGATGTAATTTGAAAATTTCTGGGGATGTCATTATACTTTTCATTGGGGGTGACTTTCCCCGCAACATCACCAATTTGGCCACACTGAGGGTAGACGCAAGTTAACTTTAAAGACCACGTGATTGGTAAATGTTTCTACCTCCTATCCAATAGTACGTGGACTTGTGTGATACCATGTTATGTGCAGACTGCAATGTCCCTAATGATGTAACTATTGATCTGGATGACGGTGATTGCGCAGAAAATTCAATCGGAGATGTGGATGCCAAATGACAAACGTGCAATATGTGCAATTTGTGGCAAATTTGTGACTGATACGTAATACAACCTCGTGCATCTCGTTTGCCCAGTGTCGGTCTATTCGGGTCGGGTTTTGAAGTGGATTAACAATTTGGCGAGCACTACTGTTGAGTGTTGATCAGGCAGGGTGATTCAGTCATTGATGGCTCTTGTGCTAAAGCAGTTTTTCCGTGTCAGGGCATTCGCTGAGGGGTTGTTCCAGTTTTCAATGGTGGCCTGGCCTTCTCGGGCGTTTGGTTGAAAGTGCTCTTGTTCAGGAACCGTACTGGCTCAACTGCCATCTCGCCGTGCAGCAGCTGGAAGACGGTGATCATATCGTCTAAGTGTCATCTCTAGTACAGGGAAGGGAGGCGGAGAAGGCGTAGTAGGTCGGGATACTGAAGATGCCTGATGTCGGTTATGACTTCATCGGAACCATCTAGATTCTGGATAATCTGGCGAGTCTTGTCTCTGTTGCCCAGTGGCGCGGGAACCGGGGGGGCTAGCGGGGGCTGAGCCCCCCCAGCTTTTTGGCTGGGGGGGCTCGTAATGTATTTGAGCCCCCCCCCCCCCAGCTGGAGGAATCGAAATCGGAAATCTACCAACATAATTTCATAGATTCATACATAGGCGTGGGAACCGGGGGAGGGGGCAGTGGGGGAAGCTTGCCCCACAACTCTGCGGCCGTGGGGGCGGTGCCCCACAACGCTTCATGAGGCCAGGAACCGTTGGGCAGCTTGTCCTCCCCAAATTAGGGGTTGTGGGTCACAAAGAAAGAAAGCATGTAAGTGAAAAATCCACCTATTTCACTGGCTCAGCAACTCATTTGGCAGATTAAAACCTTTACTCCAGGTTGCCAAAACATAGATTGGCCAAAACGGTAGTTTCTTCACTCAGCTGAGACGGAATACCTCACTTTTTGAAAATATTTTCGTGTTTTTTTTTTGTTGTTGTTGAAATGGCCATGGTCTGAAAAATAAGTGGCCTAAAACCGGTGAGAAAACTAGATTTGGGGGTACCCTAGGTTGATTTCTATTATGGTTCAGCCCCCCCAGTCTGAAAGAAGTTCCCGCGCCACTGCTGTTGCCTGCGCTGCGCTTGTTCCAGTTTACTGTGGTCTCGCCTGGAATATTCTGCCAAAGGTTCCCATATTAAGCTTTTATTTTCAAGAAGAAGTCGACCATGGGCTTGTAATAGACGTATAGCAGGGAGAGGGTGACATTCGATGGTAATGAAGCTGCAGCATCTGTTACGATTTCGCAACGGCAGTTGCTGTCCGCAGGCGTAACTTCAGGTAGATATTGATCAACATGACGACGCCGAGGTCCTTTTGCTTTTTTCAAGCCTTTCATGCCGTCAGTAACAGCGTTGCTCAGCAAGCTCAGACGATAGATACTGTTTTTAGGGTCTAGGGTTTTAGTTTCGTATGCCGAGATGCATCACTGCATTTTAGCACGCTGAAAAAGATAGCATTCTCACTCGTTTGGATCAATATTGGTAAAAATTTTGTCAATTAATAATTTCATTAATCAATAATTAAAATAATAGCCGCTTTTGAGCTTGAATGAGATGCCGAGTCAACGTGTGAGTCACCATGATTTATTTTAGTAACGCTGTTCTTTGTATTTTAATTTTAAGCAAGTAGATTTAGAAAGCATCATTTTTCATTTATATGAGCTACTTCACAAGATGTATTTTAATTTTTAGTAATGCAAATGATTCCGTCTTATTGCTACAAACTGCTGAAGAAAATGAATTGAAGAAAATATCAGCTGATTGTTACTCCACTAGCGACATCTACCGTGCTTTCCTCTGTTGGTCATTTCGCCGCAGTGTCCGTGTCTGTGGCTTTCATTTTTATTTTAAAATGGCAACCATTCACAGAATTATCTCACGGGGCCTGCAAACTTCTGCGAGGCGGCTTGGAGCCGAAGCCCACGAAAATCATGAAGGTACGTGACATCCGCGTGGAAATGACAAGTGAGATCAGATGAGATTGCTTCGCGTCAGGCGCTCCAATGTGAATCACAAATTCTGATAAAATTGTGATAAAATCTGAATAAATTGTTGCCAGGCGTTCGATATTCTTGTTTCATGTCGTCTGGATGGATCTTTTTATCCTCGTGGGTGTCACTTTTTTTACTTAAATGGTGAAAGGATGCAACGTGACCTAGCGTTTGTGATGTAGGTAATTAGTTTTCAAATGCTTCTTAATGCTAAAAGACATCATTTGGAATGGTTTTTAAACATTCCACCTCAGAATATCCATTAAAAAAATACATATGAAGCAGACTCACTCTCCTCCCGCCACCTCAACCTTGGTTTTCTAATTTCTTCAAGGCCGTATTATTATAGCAGGCGTCGCAGGTGCTGCCGCCTTTTTTCAAAAAGCCTCCAGACTCGTCAGTTCTTGAGATGTTCACCCAAATTTTGCTTATAGAAGTCTTCATCAAATAGTAGGTATTACAGAACAAAACATAAGCCCTAATCTGACTTAACCTTACCTTTAACCTGCTAACCTAAAACCTATAATGGACAAACCTTCAATTTACAAACTACAAACCTACAACATACCAACCTACAACCTACAAACCTAAATCAACAACTTAAAACCCACAAATGTGCAGCCAACTGCAAAATGTGTGCAAATATCTCAAGAACTGGTGTGAGAACAAGAACTGGTCTCAACTCTCAAGAACCGATATGAGAAGTCATAAATGACTTCTCATATTGTGAAATATCAAATGCCAAACTGTGCACCTCCAACATATAAACGTACTGTCATTTCATTTCATTGACTGACATTTCATTCACATTCATTTCATTCATTTCCTTCATTGACATTTCATTGAGTTTCATTGACTGAATAAAATGCTAGTATGTTGAATATATGTGGGGTGGTATAAAATGGTATGCTATGTTAGGGCCATTCAAGCTGCTGTGGGTCTCTGCCCCCTTTGGAGAATGAATAGGGCTGCTGATTTGGTGCAGGACTCTGGGTTGTGGCTGCCCCAACCACTTAACTCAGCTTACATTCATGATTCTCAGACAGGATCCTTATGAAGAAGGTTCTGTGCTGAACTTCTGTGCTGGCTTAGCAATATCCATGAAAATGGTGCAGATTTCCAGCCTGGTTGCTATGGGATGGTGCAGCTTTGTCACCCTGGCTATCACAGCTCATTGAATTTGTTGTCATGCTTTTTAATGTTGATATTGACCTGTCTGTCGTGTCTGATCAGGAACTTTTGGGTTGTCACTTGGCAGAACATAGAAGTCAAAGTGGGCTCATATTTGTGATAAGTAGGTATGTGTAATGGACCTGTCTTGAGGTGTGACACAACTGTTGATACAATCTTCAGTATGTGTTCACTGTTCACTGTGTGAGGCAAGGATGTGAAGCTTGAGTCCTTGTCTGTCTGGTGCTTACCTAGGCACGAAATATTGGTCCCAGGTAATAAAAACTGCATGCATGATATTGGTACCACCCCTGACGATTTTTCGTGATTGCTTGGAATGCCTCTCCTCTACCGAACCATGGCCCAGTAGGCATAGGCAGATAGCATTGGACCGCTGGAACTTTGTTGTCTAAATCCTACCGTTTATCGGGAATCATGCGATCAAAGTTTAAACGCTAGGGTAGTGCCCGCACAACAGGCGCCGCTTGGCGTGAGCTCCGGCTTTGTCAGTCTGAGTTAATATGGCCGCCGGTGACCACCGCAGTCCGGGCGCCATAAAACCCCAAATAATTCTTACCATCATCATCGAATTAATTCGAGCTGCACTTTTTAATCCAGTTGCGAGTGGCACTGGCGATTCTTTGGTGCTTCTTCTAATGGACGGCCGGGGAGGTGTCGCCGCCCGCACCGGTCTCTGCACTCCCTATGGAGTGCCACTATGGAGTGTCATTTTGCTGTGTTTGCTCCCTGTCATCATCCAATTCTCTTCTACCCGCCCAAGAGATAACGAGAGCTGCTGACCGGCAAACAATAACGGCAGGGTGCTCTTCCCTGGCCTGCTGCTGACAGGTTTAACGTCAGATCATCTGTGACCGGGCAGAGGCTTTTTGCTGAAAGCGTGAAGTGCTCTTGAAACCACTTCAGCGATTTCCCGTACGATATTACGAAGAGATTCGTGCTACAGCTCTTGTGGATTCTTTGTGTCTTTGTGTCCGTTCGGTGCTTGTTCGTATCCGCCACTTGCATTTTGTTCATTATTAAAGGGACTATCCCACCTTCAAAAAAGTCCCGTTTAGGATTCGGAAATGTTACTCATGATATTGTGACGAATTCTGCAAGTTTTTACGCGTTTTCATCGTATACTTTTTGAGATATTGCGACTTTTATATTTCATCGTGACGTCATTTAGATCGAATCTGTGACGTAATGAAGGATTTACTTCATGTCAGTGTGGGGGAAATTTGTCAGCAAATGTAGGCATTTGCTCTCAAATATGACTCGGCTCATACAATAACAAAAGTGTCTCTGATTGGCTTATTCGTAAATCAAGTGATACTTCACTTGAACAGGCGTTCAAAAGGCAAATGACGTCATCAGATTACCGTTAACGGTTAAGAGATTGCGCCTTGCGCAAGGCCCATTTTCAAATGAAGGGAACGAATTTCTTCAACACCACGAGGCCGCGGGGGTTGCAACCAAGATAGATAGTGGTTTCTGGACCTCGCCGCAAACTTGGCTATCTCAACTCAAACCTAATGTAAATGTGGGATAGTCCCTTTAATGTTCACTATCCCCTTTGGTTTCGTGTTCCGTATCCGTCTCGCTGATGTATTCACTGTCCGCGTCTACTCCTGTTTGTGTCAGTGTGCTGACCGCCTCACCTCCCTGCGCCCGCAGCCGGTGTCGCACTGTGGAAGCGACTGTCGTTCCTGGTAGCCCTGCCGGCCGTCGGACTGTGCATGGCCAACGCCTACCTGTCGCACCACCATCACGAGCGCCCCGAGTTTGTCGCCTACGAACACCTCCGGCTGAGGACCAAGGTGGGTGCAAGACCGGCTGGGCAATTTACGGGGAGATGAGGCTTCTCCTTCAGTGTGCTTCAAACTCTG